TGCCAGGCCTCGTGCTCTGTCCCGGAACAGACACGAGGAGCGATCAAGGCCCCCCGTCCGCACTCCCCACGGTCCAGCTGCCTGCAGCCGCACAGCTGCAGGTGGAGAAAACCACAGATGGGCGGTTTTCTCAAACGGTGGAAAACGTGGTTTGAAACGTGCGCAAGGAGGTGGCACCACATCGCAGCAGGCTGACCGTGTTGCATCCTCACCGCAGAGTGCCCTGGGCCAAGTGTCGCCAAGCCTATTTCGGACGTGGGAAGAACAAGCAGTCCCTGGATGCTGTGGAAAAGGCAGCGTTCTTCGTGACGCTGGATGAAACCGAGCAGGGGTACAAAGAGGAGGACCCGGTTACGTCCATGGACTCCTACGCCAAGTCTCTGCTACACGGCAGGTGTTTTGACAGGTATTGTACTCACCTGAAAGACAGTGAACGTGGAAGGAATGTTACATGAGGCTGACCCCAGCCATGGGCATCTCTACTCTTAAGGAGTAAGGCTAGCATAAAAATACAACTTAATTTTCTTCTCGTCACCAAATCACCAACACGCACACACGCACACACACACGCACGCACACGCGCACACACACAGCTGAAGCAGCGAATTCGAGATTCTTGCCCTCTCTGTGCACGACCACCCCTGTTGGGAGAAGCTAGTGAGGCGTGGTCCCCCGGTTACCAGAGTGGGGAAGGCGCTTTCATTATCTATCCACAGAGACTCTTTAACGTCTGCGAGTTGTTTGAGGGGCGGGCGCCAAGTCAGTGGGCCCATCCAGAAAAAGAGTATTCCTTGTGTCGCTGTAAACTCTAAGGTTCTGTTTTGGTTTCACGCAGGTGGTTTGACAAGTCATTCACGTTTATCGTCTTCAAAAACGGGAAAATGGGCCTGAACGCCGAGCACTCCTGGGCCGATGCTCCCATCGTCGGCCACCTCTGGGAGGTGAGTTTTTGCTGCTGCTGCTGCTTTGTTCGTTCTTGTAGGTTTAACTCGAATGAGGAAATGGCTGTGGGAAATCTCAACCCCAGAGTGAGTGTAACCGTGTGATATTTGTCTGATTATACGGTAAGTTTTCAGCTCGTGCTGGCCCCGTGTGTGAAGTGACAACACTCCATGAAAGGCATCGCGTCTTCGTTTCGTGCAGCTTAGGGTCTTTACGTAGAAGCACGCGGATCGCCGTGCTTCTATGGGGCCCACCCAGCGAGGCGACAGTCGCTTCTAACGCGGTGGCTTCAGGGGAGAACTGAAGCTCGGTTTATTCTGAAAGAAGCCATCCCTTCTTTGCTGTATGTCCTAGATTTTCCTCATCTGCTCAGTTTTAGGCCACACAGAGGCAAGCATTTGAAATCTTGGTGTATAAAAACGGGGCGTGCCTTTTACCCCATCATTTAATTCTTAAAATAACCGCGTTATATAAAAACCGCCAAAGTCTTGATACCACCTCTCTGAAGAACGAGACTGTCTATTTCGGGAGGACAAATACGTGTTCTGTGGCGATATTAACTACACAGTATCTTTTCTGTATCTTCCCCCCTTCCACAGTATGTCATGGCCACTGACAGCTTTCAACTGGGTTATTTGGAGGACGGACACTGTAAAGGTGATACCAACCCGAACATTCCATACCCCACCCGGCTACAGTGGGACATCCCGGAGGAAGTAAGTCGCGTTATCAGAGCCACTAATAACTACTTAGGGCAGGGTTTTCCAGCCGTCCTCCCGGGGAGGTGTTCACAGTTCTTTTGAGGACCAGGAAGACTGGTTTGTCCGCCCAGGAGGTTTTTGCTGGGGCCACCATGGTGCTGCTACAGCCGCCGTTGCCTTGGAAACCCCCGTAAATATTGCTTCTTCCATTTAAAGCTTCTAGTTAAGATCATCAGTGAGGTTTCCAGCGCAAGCTTAGCTGCACGTCACCGTGGAAAAACGAACGGCGACATCACACGTCCTTTGTGTCGAAATACCCTGAAACACGCATCTGTCATTGCGGTCCCTCGTAAAGATACCCAGATCCACTCTGTTCGGTTCGAACTCTCTCAGGAAGGGATTTTAAGGCTGGAAACACCAAATCCAGCTCAAGTCCAAGCAGGAGTTCCTGGGGCCCAGGAAGTAATTTTTCTGACACAGAAAATCACGTGTCTGTCGCCTCAGTCCTATCCAATTGCATCTTTTCATCCTGCGTCCCCGGGGCTGGTGTGTGTGCTTCAGAGAGGTGTTACCTCTGCCAGCAGCGTGGACTGAGGGTCCTTGTCAATGGCCAAGTCCCTTACTATTTACTTTTGAAACCTTTAAATAATGTTTTTAGAGCAGTTTTGGTTTCACAGCAAAATTGGCGGGAAGGGCAGAGATTTCCCGTGTACCTCCTGCTGCTCCCCCACTGTCCACGTCCCCCACCGGATGGTACGTTTGCTACGATCGATGGCCCTGCACGGACACGTCCTTGTCACCCGGAGCCGTCCGTTTACAGGAGGGTTCGAGCCTGGTGGTGGACATCCTGTGGGTGTGGACAGGTGTATAGTGACACGCGTCCACCATCGCAGCGTCACACGGGGTAGCCCACCTCTCTAGACGCCCCCTGCGCTCCACCCGTCCGTCCTGCCCGCCCTCTCACCCCTGGCGACCAGTGAGCTTTTTTTTCCCACTGTCTCTTTAGTTTGGCCTTTTCCAGAACGGCACGTTTTTGGAATCCGCAGCGTGTGGTCGTTTCAGATCGGCCGCTGTCACTCAGGGCCGTGGCTCAGGGCCGTGGTCGAGACTCCTTCCTCCGTGATCTCTCAGGCTCGGGAGCTCGTTTCCAGCCCACGGGGGACCGCGGTCCGATTGTGTGGAATCGGTTCTGTGATCACCAGTGTACAACAGCTGTCAGCTGTGGATTTTTTTTAAAAAAAAGAAAACCCGTGGCTGTTGGCATCGCCCTTTGGGGTCCCACCGGGAACCAGGAAGCCCCCCTCGTGTTCGGCCCGCGTGGGGCGCCCCACTGCCCCTCGTTAGCAACGCACTGCGGTGTCTGGGTAACCTTTCTGGAAAGAACCGAGACCAAAACGTGACATGTGTGTTCCCGAGCAGCGGCTCTGCTAGCTGCACCGGGAAGGAGGGTGTGCTTTTCCTCGGCGCGCGTGTCACCGCTAAGCGGACCTCTTCCTCCTTTCCCCAAGTGCCAGGAGGTGATAGAGGCGTCCCTGAACAGCGCCAGCCTCCTGGCCAACGACGTGGATTTCCACTCTTTTCCCTTCAACACGTTCGGAAAAGCGCTGATCAAGAAATGCCGGACGAGCCCGGATGCGTTTGTGCAGCTCGCCCTCCAGCTGGCTCATTACAAGGTAAGAGCCCTGGGCCCAGGCTTTTGTCTGGCTCACTTTTGGGGTCCCTAAACGCAGGCCGTTTGCCCAATGGGCAGGGAAGGCGGACACCTGCCAGGGGAGTGCGCCCCGCTGGGTCTCGCTCAGGGTCCAGGCAGACAGCGGTGTCAGCACAGTCTCTGGCGGGCAGTCGCGGGTTCCTTGTTACACGGGACAGGGAGGATCTGGGACAGAAGCACAGCGAGATCGCATTGCTCGACAAAGGGGAGGCTCACACCTTAAAACGGGCTCCGAATCCTAGGATTTGGTAAAGCAGCACTGCGTAGGGCCTGTTGCATTTTGGCCTGCATGTGACGGACCCATCGGAGGAAGCAGCCCAGGCCCGTGGGAGGATGGGAATGGGACATGCTGCCATCAGAGGGGACATTCCACCGTAGGCAGGGCGGCTCTGGGTTTCCAGGGGCTGCAGAAGTCATCGTGGCAGTGGCTCAAGATCTGCCCGTCTTTAACGGAAAATCCCTATTTTAAAACTCGAGCGCTGTGCGTATGGCACGTGCAGCATGTAACGTCCCTTTGACCGCAGTGGCCGTGGTGTCTGAGTTTTGCTTTGTGCCAGATCCTGGTCTCAGCGCTTTACACACACACATCACTCTGCAGCCTCCCCCATCCCCCTCCCCCGGTGCGAGGCACCATCGTCAGCCCATTTCGCAGGTGAGAAAACAGGTACAGAGAGGTGAGGTGACCTGCCCAGGTGACACTGGAGTATGTGGCAGGAGTGGATCCAGGTGGCGGCCCTGGAGTTCACACCTAGACTTTCACTTAGCTCTTCGTCTGACAGATCAAGTGACTCAAAGATATAACGGGATTGAGGAATTCCATCTTAGGATTAATAAGCTTGATTTTTAAAATTGATAAGCAGACTTTACACCTAAATATGCAGTATTAGAACTATAGAAGGAGGTGATACCTCAGATACAGAGAAGATTTTAAGAATGGATACCAGGTTCCATAGTAATACGTTTTGAAAGTGTTGACGGAACAATCATCTTCTGTGGCAACACAGCAGTAGGGCTGACCCAGGACAAGGGAGAAAGCCTGAGGTCAGCGCCCGTGGCCGGACGTGGCACAGTGTCAGAGAGCCGCCCGATAAGGCGCAGATGCCCCAGGCCGCGCTGAGCGCACAGGGGAGGGGAGGAGCCAGCCTCATTGGGGTCCCGATGACGATGACGATGAGATGTGAGTGACAGGGAGCTCACTGGTGCCTGCTCAGTGCCTCGCGGGAGCTGGTTAACCCTCAGCAGCCCCGAGCCGGCACTCAGCCGTCCCCATTCTGAGGGCGTGAGGTGCCTTGCCTCCGTCCTGCAGCCTGCAGCGGCGAGGCTGAACTGGGATCCAGGCGGGCTAGTTCTAGAACCCACATCTTCAGCTTAATCTGATGGATACACAGAAAAAGAAAGCCACAGACCGGTTTTGCTCGTGATGATAAGCGCAGAGAAACTAAAAACAATATTAGCAAG